CTGTTTTCCGGTTCTCTAACTCCTTCTACCAGGGTGGAATTTCTTTTTGCCCCTGCCATATTCAGGGTCGCCTCTATCATTAAGCGCAATAACTTACGCCGACGATACCATGCTAATGAGGACTCGTTGCACAAGCCGTTATTTACAGCTATATATTTTTTACCATACTGTTAAACGTAGCCACGAGATACGTTTCGATGTGTACGTCTCCCCCTCTGCAGGTCCTCTTATTGGTTTGTCAAACGAGAGGCAATAAAAGAAGAAAAAAATTGTCCCTTTACTAATATACTCATAAAAATATTAAAAACAATTTCCAGTTGAAATATAAAATTACACTACTAAGAAATATAATTATAATACTAAATAAGCTAGATTGTCTGAAAGAACTGTCTGAAACAATATACAAGGATTTCATCTAAACTACAAAATTGATTTGTATGATACACAGGAGTTCCTTTAGTAGTATGTTTGTGATTGTTACATGTCACATATGTTAAAATAGACGTGAAATGGTTAACTAATACAAAAGTTAATTTAATACTTAATTTTCATTGCCTCTGCACTACGATCACCAAATTCACCACAGAATCCCCCTCGACCACCACCGCAGACAGTACACTTTTCAATATCCCGCATCACCGTTCATCTTTATTCACGAAAATCCTGCCCAACAGAATCACAAAATACACAATGAATATGTATACACACCAAGGTGCACACCGAACGTACACAAACTCACGAAAACACCCAAAGAAAATCACCCGGAGAAGCCCGGTTGGTTTCTTGTTCGCCATGAACGTCACCCTCATTAGCGGCCGATAAATTCATTCCTTGTGTCGTAAATCACCCCCGAGGAAAACGTTCGTGCGCGACGACTCGGCAACAACCGATTCAACAATACCGATACAACCAATTACAATCGCGGCTGCCTGGAAATCCAGGGTCGCGACGGGTCCCCGCGCCGCCGGAAACCGCGTTTCGTGGGGCTGGATCAGCGGGCAACGCGCAGGCGCGCACACTGCACGCGGTAATAATGAAAAGCCGAGCGATAAATAATGTATTGGAACCGCGGGAGGCGTATAACTCATTCGACGAGAATATAGCTCTCGTCGTTCGCCTCAGCAGCTCGACCTCTCCGTCCTCTTTCTCTTTCTCTCTTCTTCAGCTTCAAACCGCTTCCTTTTTCCTCTCTCACTCGAGCGCGCGCGGACTACGGATTCTCCAGCTGCCATAAATCCGAGCGCTACCATCCGAGGCTCTAATTGCATTATAAATTGTGCATGCGCCTGCACATCCTGGCGAGCGCGGAGCGCAACGCGCTACCCCTGCCGCCGTGTCGAATCGACGCTTCCAGGATGCTAGCTGGAATCGGCCAGAAACGAGAAGACCCCAACCACGACCTCCCGTGTATTTTTCTGCCGCTTCAGATCACCCTTGGATGATGGGGAGCAGGGAATCTAATACCTAGTTTGTGTCGAAACAGGGTGCCAATCAATTTATCATCCCCAAAAGCTTCTTCAATGAACCGGAGATTGTCAGTCACGCCGAAAGGAGTGTTTCCATCAACGAGCTCGTTCTTCCGTCAGTCGATGCATGTTAATGGTACCGACCCTATAAAACACTTAACGCGAAACTACCGTTGCCCTGGGATCAGCAAGAACCGCCACGGACTGCTCCCACAATTGACAGGGCAATTTGGTTCGAAATCGTCGGCTAATGACACGCGAATCTATCTCAGTAGATCATCGCCAGTTCCTTATTAGGACACTGCAGTACGGCGAAGGTGCAGTTCACGAGCAGAGAAGAAAACCGAGGAGAAGAATGGAATTACCGTGAGGTGAGCAGTGTCTGTGATGTCATCCGGCACGGAACGAGCGAGCACTAATGACACGTCGTAGACGATCGTCCTGGAATAGCTAATCCCAAGACAATCTATGAATTCCCGGTACCTCGTCCTTGGTGGATACGATTGTTTCAGACTTTTCGATACTTTCACGCTTTCGATTCTAGGAGACCCTAGATTCGCCGTTATCCATGAATTCAAAGCACATAACTGTCGATCAGTCTTGAGAATACCAGTTCTCTGTAGAGTATTTAAGATGGAATTGTAATTTTTTATTTCAGTAAATTATGGCGCCAAATATGCTGATTCAATATTTTAATCCTGATTTAATCTGAACTGAAAAGTGATATATAGTACTTACTTGAACAGAACACGAAGGTTATTTCATATCCTTGATGGAAACTACTTTGCGTCTGACATTTATACTTTCCTGTTGGACGCGAAGTTGAACTGCAAGATTGCATGGTAATTGGAATCGGGGGGAGTTATACCGACGTGAGACCTTGGATTTGTTACATGTTTTCATACAAATTGATTAAAAAGATGTTCGAGGAATTTACTACTGATTTCATCATATTGGCGTTCGATGCAATTAGAAATGTTTCTAACGATTAAATTATTGTGACTTACTATTTAGAACCAAGCTTTATGAACGTAACTTTGTTTCGTAGGCTCCATTTCAATAGTATTATTTCAAGCAGATCCATGGAATTACTCATACATAATAATGAAAATGATGCGACTTCATCGTGTCAAGAAAGAACAGTGCAAAGTGTAAAATAAGCAGGATATATTTAAATAAAACTGTGTAATAAACAAGGTTCAGCTGAAGCTAGTAAATAATTATTAAACCTAACTCCTTTAGCTCACATAGTAAGACACTAACCCTCGAATGACGAACCGTGAAAACCGATGACCGGGTCAGTCGTGACAAATAACCCAAATTTCGAAGTTACAGAATCAAACCAATTCCCAAACAACCAGCCCTATTCAAAGTCCCCCGCCGCGATCAAGCGAGTCTCCGGAGACCGCGGCAACAAAAAGACAAGACCGAAAAACCTCAATGTATCATCTCGGATCAGATAAGCCCGGGCGAACAACCAAATTGCTCCGGGTCCACGGAATCACGCGAGTGTTTCGCGAAGGGTCGATAAACCAATCAGGCAGAAACACGGTCCCGAAAGCCCGGTCGCATCTAGATGACCCGAACGCAAAAGAGGCAAAGAATCCCCCTATCGTGCTATTCTGTGCTCGCGGTTTTTGAATGAGTCCCATTCCCTCGTAGTGAGCCGTGTTATCCCCCTCTCTTTCTCTGGCCGAAGTACTAGGACTGGCTGGCTACTCAATGGGGCAGATCGTTAGATAGGCTCGGTGTGCCCGGGACCAGCTCTATAAATCCTCCGCGGGCACAATTATGTGGAGGGATATAAGGATTATTGTTACGGTCCAGGGGCCGGTTCCGCAGCGCGGTGTTTCGTATTGGCCGCGAAACGGCTGCGGGGATTACCCTCATAAATATATTCAGGCCCCATTATACGAAGCCCGGGGGACGTTGATAACGTAATAATGAGGGCGTGGGCTAATGAGACGCGCGCTGAAAACTCATCCCGTAATCGTGATTGACGTCGACGATCCTCTTCTTCTCCTACCGGGCTCCCTTCATTCGGTCGGCCTACCAGATTCAGCCGGCAGACCTTCGGGACGACTTCCTCCGTTTCCGGTTCGATTGGCCGCTACTCGACGCACAGGGGGAATTCTCTAATTAAGACGTTAACTTGCCTTGTATTTTAAGGAGATCCGGCCAGTCGGATGGTAATGGGGGAGATTGTATTTCTCGGGGCCTCGGGGCGAACCGGTTGCAATATGGAAAAATCCGTTTGTTTATCGACTACTGGTTTCGTTTATTTTGCTCGGGGGAGACTTCCGCTGGTATCTTTTACTTGGTGAAAAATCGTCGGTTCTTGACTGCGTGGAATCAGACGATACAGATAATGAAACGAATGAAATTCAAGAAGAATTATGAGAGTTGGTAAAACATTTTTATAGGAAGCAAAGAAACGGAATGAAATTCATTAGACATTGGAAGCTACCGACTAATTACTTCTCCTGACCGATAAGTAGATTCTTCATTAACCCTTGGAAGGCGAATGGTCTGGGATACATGTGGCAAACGAATGCAGGGTCACTTTGTCCCGTAATAAAATTTCTCGTGCACGTAGGTTTCAAGAAGAAATTGTTCATAAAAAGTTATGTATATTTTCAAGTTCGTATATTAATTTTACATATAACCATGAAAAATAGAACAATGACTTCAGGTGGGTAAATGTGACCCTGCACTCGCTGTCCGATGGTAAATACAATAAAATTACTGATTGTACCAGAATTCGAGGATAGAGATTGCCAGTACCGATGTATAGGTCACTATCTATCAATCTACACAACCTATCCATTCCCGTCGTCAGAGATGTCCTTATCCTTTCGTCGCCAGCCTCTGTCCTTATTCCTTTCTACAAGGACATCAATAGAAGACTAGATAAAGGCCATCAGCATGGGGACATCCGTTTCACTCGAGAGAACCGGCGCACCATACGTCCAGCTTATATGTATGTGCATCCTTGCCTCTAATTACCTCGGATGAAGACATCAGCATAGTCCCGGCGATTCTCTTGAGAATCTTAGTTTAGCTACCAGGGAAACGAATCGTTTCGTAGCTTTATATTTCACAGATTATTTATTATCGTTACGAGTCGCGATCATCACTCTTGTGCTTATAGGTGGCCTCGTTACTTCTAATGGCCCCCGTGTACATCTTCATCGGACGCGGATTAGGGGATTACGGAAAGTCCTCGAGAAATTCCATGAACTTTAAATGTTAATACTTTTGACTTCTATCGAATAACGAAATACATATTATTCAAATGTTTCAGAAAATATTTCACACTTCAAAACGTTAGTTTATCGAGTCATCGGTAGACCAGGTTAGAATGCCAGAATTTTGGGTGATCTAGTGACGCAGGAATAAAGGATACTTGAACTCTATACCACAAATAATACTATCAGTTCGATCCAACGTTTTAAAAATATAAAAAATTGTTAATGTTAAATGTACGATAACAATGTTAATAGTATGAAAAACAATGTTAGTGCTCTGACTCACCATTGTGAAGCCTGCTTTTGGAGGTACGTAGGTGCTCGATAATGGAGGTGAGGGGTCTGCGGCCATTACCGCTGCCACCCCCACAGCTCCAAGGGGAGTCACGCTCCGAGCCGTCCGCCAGGTTGTCACAGTCCTAGAAGGCGAAAAAGGAAAAAGAAGGAAATTAGATAGAGACACAAGGTAAATAAGAATGACAGGAAGAGCCCCGGTTCTACCATTTCCCACGGTTCACCACGATACTGTGAATTGCTGTGTCCTCGTACTCTGTGAGAGCACAGTGATTCAGGTAAAATGCAATAAGATTCTCATTGACTGTAATAACGAGAGCAATACCGCAGCTGGATTTTTAATCATTTGTAATTCGAATTAATTAATTTTGTAATTCGAATAAAGTTATTTCTTTATCTCAAGTTTTCGTGCACTTCTGACATCGCGCGCGATCCCGACCATTTCGCCAGCTCGGTAATAAATTCGAGCTTCAAGCCTTCCCCCGTGGCCGGTCCCGAAGAGGCAAGTACTCTTGTTCGACGAGCACGCTCGATCCACTCCGGACTTATGGTTAGGTCGGCTTACAACCGGATCGGATCGATTCCCCGCGACACGTATGGCGGTGTCGCCCGTGCATTATAGAGGGAGGAAAGGAAGGGTCCGGGGTCCCCAACCGTACAAGGCCCAAGTTTAGAATTCCCGTGGATCGTAATACCACGGCGACGACGAAGCCCCGCGGAACCGTTACCGAGAAGTCGTTAAGCCCCGTCGTTAAGTCGATTATCCGTAGCCCTTGACGACGACGACGAGCGGATCCCCCCGCATCGAGTTTCCTCCGTGGGGCCCCGGCTCTCTCTCCCCCGTTTATCGGGGGCTCGGGCGACGTGTCATGCCCGACAGCGTTATCCTGGATCCCGACGACGGTCCCCCCTAAGATCCAGTTTTATCGATCGTATTACGATAAGACGCGTTTTCGTCCAACGGCGAACGACCTGGCCCCCTCCTCTCCCCCCATCCCCCCTCCTACCGCCAATCCCTCGGGGCCCAACGAGCGCGGTGTTAATCCGCGCAAGAGACGACTATGGATTTATGGGGGCCCGGAACAGGAGAATTTGTCGATCGGTAACGTACGACGTTGGGGGAAAAAGTACACGATCGACGGAGGGGCCGGGGATGATTCATGACGACGGTCGTCCGGTCGGGCTTGTTTTAATGCATCATTAGCCAGGGAATGTAAGGATCGTTTTTAATCGGCGTTGGTACGCAAAGGGATCCCAGGTGATTGAACAAGTACGCTCGGGACGCGATATACCTTTTCAGGTATATAGTGGTTATCAAAGAAGACAAAACGGAAAATTTATACCTGGTAATATAGAACATGTTGTTTGAATCATTACTATTGCAGATAGAGAAAAATATTGCAACGATTTCTGTCCTAATGTAACTCTCTAATACCAAGAAGGGTTCTCAGAGACTATGCTAGTTCTATTCTTCTTATTTCTCTCATCTCTGTAGTCGGTTTGATTTAAATTGCATATAAGAAATTGATACAAGGCACCTCTTCCCTTTGACATTTGTTAAGGAAGTGAACTATGCTCCCTCGGTAATAGAGCATTCCAAAACTATAAATTTCTTTCAAGAAACTGTGCGCAATCCCAAAATCCAGTCCGAGAAGAGTAAATAAAAACTACGAAAATCGATAAAATAAAACCTAATCTTCTATTCAAAATTATACAAAAGTAATCCTGGGACACGTAGCACTGCAGCACAAGTTCCGGGGTTAAACGGTGAGCATGCTGACCATCCACCATTTAATAAACCACTAGATCCTCCAAAGAAAGGAAATACCACGGGTAGACAGGTCCCGCATACCGAATCCCGCCAGAATCGTAAAGCACAGGGACAAGTCACGTCGCGCGATAAACGTTGAAATATATATATCCCGTCATAAATTCGCAGGAGGCGCTAGAGCAACAAGGAAGAGGCGGATGACGCCGGCGGCCTGGCACAGCCTCCTCGCCACCTGTCTCACGGCGCGGTGATGCCACTCGAGCGGTAATTACCGAAGGAAGGGGAGTGGGGGGAACTCCGTCGTAATCGTCGCCGTAGCTGTCCCCGTCGCCGACGACAAGGGTTGAGACTCTTCGAGGAACCTGGCAACGACGGCCAGGGTTCGAGTGGCGTGTAGTGTCATCAGCGGTTTTGCAACTGGCGACGACAACGCCTCGACAGTTTTCGCGGGAAGCCAGAGGCCGTCGACAGGTTCCGCGAGGGACGCAACGCAGTCTTTCTGTTTGCCCATCGCTCGAGATGGGAAACGGTTTGTCGAGGTTGTTCCTCGTCTTCAACGAGACATCCCGCCGTTAATAGCGGAACCATTCGCTCGGCCGAGCTATGTCGAGCGTGGCCACTCGTGAAAATGATAAAGACCCGTACACACGACCCGGCGCATTCCGGGAACAATAAAGTTAGAAGAGGTACAAGGACGTCACACCTCCGTAAACCGTCCGTGAATCGTTCTTGGGAAAGCATGGCGACGATGCTTAAACATCTTTATGCGAGACGGTGTGACACACCGGGGGCATTTTAACTGCGCTTTTCACGCTGACTTGCGCGCGCCTAAACGTCGCCTCGGTTCTGAAGGGTGAGCGACTAATGAGCGGAGAGGTGGTTTTATGGAATTGCTGATGTATTCTGCACGGGCTGGGGCGTGTAATTTGTTCGGACCGTTATTATCGTCATGGGATGAACGAGGAATGCGCCTCTCGTCGTATTTAAGACGATAAAGTGTCTGGATTAAAATCGTTTTTGGTCTGCTTCCATTCATCATATTTTCGTGCTCCTTTTTCGTATGTTACATTCATGCATAACTTGCCTTGATGTTCGTACATGAAATCTCTTTCGCATACCGAGTTACATCAAACATGAGAAGGAACGCATATGTGTAGCAGTCACATGTAATGTCACTTCACAATTTTAATTCTGTCAATAGACAGGAACTCTTTTGCATGGACTTTGCCGATCATCATGCTTCCCAAGGAAACTAAGCACAAGATTTCCTCAACGATCCACGGGAACAGGCAAGGATGTTCGTTAATGGAACAAAAGGCGGGCAATTAATTAAACCATCAAGGGAGCAAGGAAGCAGTCTTTGATCTTCGCAGTGAGAAACGTATATTAACATTTGAATTTTCGTCGCAGTGGGACGTAGCCTGGTCTCAAATGAGCGCTCGTTCTTCAAATACGTACCTGAAGAACACCCGCTGGTAACATCTGCGGACCACGTAGATCCAGCGTGTTCCGCTGGAACGAAAAAGTTCTTGCGCGCATCTCTCCGCGGTACAAAGAATTATGAACACGCGGCCGCAGATAGATAGTTGAACCGTACCCCCGAGGATTTTCCTCGTGATGCTGCTACGAATGAACAAAAGCTTCCTCTCAGAACTGCCGTGTTGTTCGTGTTGCGTTTAAGGGTTGCAACGCATAAACGTTAGGAAGAATGCTTGTGTGACTTTAAACGCGAACAAAAGAATTGTACAATAATCTCCAAAAGTACATCTTACACGATGAAAGATTGGCGAGGACCAAGAATGCGTTTTTTCAATGGAGTTTTAATACTTTATCGCTTGAAATTTGTGATTATCATCAGTAATCTGGATCGATTTTTATTTATGTCATGTATTATAGAATTATTGTTCAATTTTCTACTTATTTCTTGTCCCCTACTGTGCAATAAAGACCACTCGATTAAACCAGACCCAATCATTCTCCTGTCTCAGACACCTGAACTTCTCACTTTCCACAAACATTCACCCATGTGCCCATCGTGTCAGCCTTTGAAACCATCTCGCCGAGAAAGTATTGGACATATGTAATTCGCTTCTGTATTTAGTACGCGATCCACGGACGATAGTATCTCGTGTGGACGCTCGCTTTCATCTGGCCACGTAGACGGTATATGTGTATTGAGCGCGGTATGGAACCAAGCTTCCATACGAAGTGAACGCATCAGGAACAATTACCCCCGGTCCATTTCGTAGAGGGGGAGATCGCCTCTCGGCAGTAAATCGACGCCGCAAATCGCCGCGCGGCGAGTTAGCGAGTTTCGAGCGATTAGCCGGCTCGCGCGCTGCCGGCTCCGCGGCAGGCCAGCGTGTAACCGATGGAACCTTTCTGCGAAACCGTGGCCGCTGGTACAACACACACCGTGTGTGTGTGTGTGTGTATATATATGTGTGTATATATATATATATATACATATATCGGTATCAGGGGGGGAGACTCCCCGCGCACCTCGACGAGCCAACGGTATGTCGACACGGCATTGTGCGGCTGATCCCCTGGAATCGGCATGTAATTAGCTAGGCCCCGGTTGACTACCAGCTGGCCGACGAGTGGCGCACGCTAATGTGCCTCTAATGTCGTCTGCCCTATCTCCTTCCCTCTTACAACCCCGCGTCTCGCGATCGCTGACTGCTGTTCGTGGTACAGGGGGCTTTTAGAGCTGGCGCTCGTGAGCCTTTGTTCGGTTTGCAGAATCGGTACATTGCTAGTGGAGAATGGCTTCATAGCTACTGGATGCTTTCGAGAAATAGATGTATACCCTTTGGTACAATGATTTCTATCTGTATGAACAGCCTGGGTTTTGTATGTAACTGAAAATGTGGGTGGTTTTGAGCAAGGGGATTTTGATGGGGACGAGATTTTGGGAAGTAATTTTGATAGTTTGTTGCATTTACAGGCGAGATAGCGACTTTGGATGTAGATCGGACCTGTTTCTGAGGTAGCAGTAAATAATCCACCAACTTTTGAAATTGCAAAATGATATATTTTACCTTAAAAATATCTTTCCCACCTTTCACTGATTGTGAGTAAAAAAGTGAGTAAAAGTGTAGGATCTTGAAGAACAATTATGAATACAAATGAAGCATTATAGATCCTTGAGCTTTAAAAATACTAATACTAGTTTTCTCAAGTAATAGTTGATTACTTATTGGTACACCTACTATTCACAATTATTAAGTTGTATAACAAAGAATAATTTCGATTCTTCATACGACATATCGATGTCGAAAGAATCTAAAGGAAATAACTGGGTAAATTTAAATAATCCGAAACCGTACCGACCGTGTGATCTACCGTGTGTTCTCTTTAGATCGTTCGCGAGCTTTATTGCTCGTACTAGTTGCCGTAGATCCGAGGTTGAAGTTACGAGCATCGTTCGCGGATTTTTGCTGGGAACGTTTGCTAGGCTCGCCGCGTTTCACCTTCGCGTTTTACTGTTGCCTTGGAATTCTTTTCTTGGGAAGATAGTACGTATTTTGTTTGGAATTTTATATCTAGGAAATTAGCGTTACTTCAAGATTTTTATGACACGGGAATGTTCATTCGCTACCAAGGCGGAATGTTATTATCTCCGTGAGACGTTCAACGAAGTTGACTGTATCAGTTTTATGAAAATATGCTCAATAAATGTCTTGGTATATTTCTATTCACTTGATTGGTACTTTGTGTAACATTTATTGACTCTGGTAAAAGAAAAATTTCATAAAGTACCTAACTCTTTTCTAGGTAATCCCAGTATTTACAAGTTTATTCAACATTCACTGAACTGTGGTATAAACAATGAAATTAATATATTGAAAATACAAAATTAATTTTTTACTAGATTTTATTTTTGAAGAAATTGTATTCGAAAATCTATCAGAGAGGTATGCTTTTCAATGGGACTGGCTGATATGTCTGTCTATTGCTCACTAATTCTACTTGAAATAATCACAACCAGTGATACGAGGTAAGTACTATCTACTTCCTGTCAACGTTATTATCTTCCATTTATCGGTTATATCAAATCATCGAGAAGAAAATACTGTAAATACTCACACAAACATAAGCCAAACTGTATACAGCTATACGTGAATCTAACAATTTCTCAAACTTGATTTTTTCTGAAACAAAGCTATCCATGAAAAATACATTTTATTCATGCAATTTCTTTTTATGCGTCCTCACTCTGATAAATTTTTCGTTTTTTTTTAAATAAGATTCGTAGTTTGGTACGTAATCTAGTGAAACAAATGTGACAGCCTTCCATGTACCAATTTTTTTTGTCACTGTACATATAAGCACGAGCAAAGAATATGACATTCGTTAGAATATACAACTTTTTACCCCAACTTCTGTCGCTAAGTGTATTTAGTTTAAATAATACCGACGATGAACAATTAAATAATGCATCGTTATTTCAATACCCTATCTGTGCTTTATGGTCATAAGACCACTTCGGTCTCGAGCACGGCCGGGGATCATTTTTCATCGGAGGATTAAACAGAGACTCTGGAAGACGATCCCTGCGACATAACCGGTAAAGGAGCCCGCGACGTCGTCCAGTAGATTATCCCGCCTAGTTGACCGCATCGCGGCTCTCTCTATAATGCTGTTAGAAGAAGTTAACAACCGGATGACCCGCAGAGACGATGACGAACGTGACGAGCAAAATAATCGTCCGCATCGATAAACCGAGTGATCCAGAGGCAGGGTGCAGTGAAGACCTCTTGGCAAGGTTAGCTCTCATCAAGGACGCATTAGGGAAAGCCTCGATGGGCGTCCAGCAGGGAGAGGGTGAGAACGTGCTGCTACCGGCGAGGAACAGTAACAATCTATCAAGACCACGGTCTCGTTCGAAAACTGGTCTTGGGAACCGAGCCTGAATAATTGGCGAAAAAATCGAACAGCAATCCGTTTCGTATCAGTTTCACGAAAGTCTTGGGAATACTTAACACATTAACCGCCAAGGTGGTCACCGGTGGCCGACGACATTAAATTGTGCCAAAGAACTTTTAACTTCTAAGGAGTAGCAGTTACAGTCTCCCGCATGCAATTAGTGAATCGAATAATGACCGAAATAAGGAGAATACAAGTGAACATGTAAACGAATTTACATAGAAATGACCCTTGATGAGAAATAGCCTATGACGCAAATGTCCGTCAGTTCACACCTCTGTGAACGAAAAAACAATTTACACGGATACAAAGATTGACGCCATTATTACTAAACTTGATAATCTTCTATAAAAACCATGTACACCAAAGTACTTTGATCTATCGTGCAACGAAGTGTAAAATCTTGAAACTTTCCACAATGTGTTTGACATGTCGGATACCTGTCCATCCACCTATGAAGGTAAGCAGCGATCGCCCGATGAAATAGCATATCTTTCGAACGATTCCTAGTGCAACAAAACACGATTCGTGAAAGGTACGGATACTTCGGCGCAAACGTTATTGAATTAACGCCACGCGCAACACGGAAGAGACTGCTCGCAGGTATTTCAATGAATTTTAATAGATCCGAGTAAATCACTGGCCACCAGGCGGGGTCTAATACGATGGATCAAAACCTTGCCACGCTTTCACCACCACTTTCTACAATGTTGCCGGGGATCGCACGGAGTGTGTAACAGGAGACGTGACTGCTAAGTGATCGACAATCGACACGTATCGCACGGAACAATCTTCAGGAAGTGCACCTGCCGAATCAAGGTCAGGGCCGGCGGTACGAGCGAATTCAGTTCCGCCCTTTCTCTTTGAAGAGAGGCGTGTTGAGTTTCTCTAAGCTGCGACTCGATGCATGACAAAGTGTATTCTTGAGCGTAGTTGGTATACCTTTGAGTATCTTAAACTTTTCCTCGAAATACTTCAGATGCAGATATACTAGGTATGTCAGAAAAGTAGTGGGACTGATAGCGTAACAATTTGTATTGTCAAGTTATCTACAAATCTGCATTATTCTCCTCAAGATAATTCCCTTGGGGAGCCACAAATAGTTGGAGATGTTGTTTTGGTCATGTGCTAGCTGGGCATCAGTGCAATTGACAGAACCTTCAGTATAGTCATTGTCGATCCACGATTCTTCAAAACCAACCTTATAATTTCTGCAAACAATCCTACAATTTCTCGCGTGATTAGAGCGAATCCTCAGCACAGCGCAGAAGACAATCCTTTCAGGAAGCGGGAGAACGTTCCTTAGCAATGAGTCAATGATGCGGTGGCGCGGAGGAGCTATTATCGCCAGAAATTCCAGCTTTTTTTCCGCGGCTTCGGTGCTTCCTTGCGGTAGCATACAAAGAGGAGCCGTGGCTTTCATGGTTCGCCTGGCTCGTAGCTTGTGGTGCCAAACACGAGGAAAAAAACCTGGCCGTTACGTAAACACCATAACGAAAGACGCTGCGTTAATAACGAAGCCTCATCTGCAGCCGAAGAGGAACGCTCCTTCCATCCAAGGGAATTAATCCGGGATACGATTATACGAAAATGACCGGCAGAGTTCAGCATTGAATAGGGTCCTAATTACTTGTATTCACGGAGGATGACCTTCCTCTTACCCTGTGCACTCGCTGTTTCGCGATTCGATGGCGCATGTTTTCGCACGAGACTCGTGGTAGCTGGTAATAGCCAATCACGTTACTGATTGATAGGGTAATTATCGGATAAAATGCGGGGAAAATGTTTTTCTGAAACGATGGTAGCGGTTTGGTAAGAGGAATATTCATCGGGGAATCGTTGAAATGGGGGAATTTTGTCAATAATTCGACTGTTCATTTGCCACATTTTCCACCTTTCTGTACTTACATTACTCCTCTTCTTACAAATTTCATTCCCACAATTTCCATACCACTGAAATCGTCAAAATAGACCCTATTTCCAAATATGATCTTTCGGAAGAACATCCGCAAATTTCAAACCAAAGTCAATTAATCTAGTATCATTCGGTTATTACCAGCGACACGACAGCTTTTCTTATTAGACAATTCAATCTAACACGAAGCCATCGTGCGTCTACACGA